GGACAAATCCCTTTTTAAAGCTTCCTAAGAGCTCTTAGGATATCACGTAACATTTTATTTGGGGAATTTGGTATATGACACTGCGTGCCAAAAATCACAATCATGCTGCACAAAGCAATAATTAGCACAACCTACAGAACAGTGCTGTTTTAAGAGCTAGATTTTTTCTTCTCCTTCTTCTTTTCAGGCAAGATATTTTGGTCCTTGCTGATATGCAGTGAATCTCAGGAGAGGATCCTATGCTTCCAAGTCAAGTACTACTATGAACATAGTGGAAAGTATCTTTATTTGGCATTTCAAGTTGAAAAAAAAAAACGTCCTATTTATACGGATTTCTCAGTTTCAGGCTCAGATATGATGATCCTCTCTCCAGCTGGAGAGGTTCCCTCACTAATTCCATGGCAAAATTTATCATTTCAAAATGAATTCTCTGAGATGACTGAAACATAGCCCTTTGGGGAGCTCTCAGTTCCTCCAGAGCTGGACTCTCACTGTAAAATGTAAAGATGCCTGCTTGCACTCCTGGCAACACTTTATGTATCTGAGTTACTTTTATACTAATTTATTAGTTTTTTTCTCTGCCTCCACCTATCCTGATGAAAAATTGCACAAGCAGAAGGAGGAAAGAGATACATCACAAGGTGAACGTGATGGCAGAGTAATCAGTTCAGAGGCTGAATTATTTATCCCTGCAAAACAAGCTAAGAGGTACACAAATTTTCCTGGTTCCCAGATGGGCATAAAGGGAAAACCCACTCCATCCACAAGCCTTATATTTTGAAGCCTGCAAAACTCCTCATTTCTGCCATCCCCTCTACAGGCTGACTGGGGTCCTCACTGCCCATCCCTGTCCCTTTTCACCAGCAAGTTCCAGAAAGGCATTCTCATCTCTGCTAGGCACAGGGAGAGGGAAAAACATTCATTTCTCTTCACCTGCCTACCTGCCTCGTGTTTAATGCACAGTCTATGACTTCCATCAGCTGAGGAAGAAGAGGGAAATCATGATGCCAGGGCAAGGGGAGGACCACCTACATTTCAAGTAGTACAAGAGCTCTCATTCACGCGCACCCCCGAAGGCATAAGCAGAGCCCTGGTTATAAACGATCCCTGGCAGGACTCCCCGTCGCCAACTCAGATTGAGAGTGTATTTGTTCATGAGGGCGCTAGTGAGCCTTCGTGTCAGAAATCACCAGCAGGAGCCTCGAAGGGGCTGCCAAGAGGCCAGGGTGTTGACACAGAAAATGCACAGACATGCCGCGATCTCACCACTTAATCAACTTTGCATTGGCCAGAGCAAATTTCAAAAGGAAGCCTCTGACAGGCATTTGTGAGCAGCTGGGTGACAGTTTTCCATCCATGTTAGCCCTGAACCAGTGACAGTGCAAACACTGAACAGTTATTTGTCCTGTTTATATTGTCCATCAGCTTTATATCCCCTAACTGAGCAACATTAAATGTTTATATCCTTCTTACCCAAATCTCCCCGTACTTTATGAATTAAAAGTTTTGCTCCCTGAGAAAGTAGTAACCAAAAATAGCTTTCAACAGTGTGAAGAAGCAACATCAGTTATTTCCAATCTCTCCTTGGGAAGACTTGGCAAGGATGAAGGGATATGGTGAAGCTGAGAAGATGGAAGGTCAGACAGTTCAGTTCCCCCTCCCAAACAGGAACCTTAGCCACAGTGAAGGTGAGGGCTATGGGAGCAGGGAGATATCCTAATAAGAATCGGCAAGCTCCAACTACTGGATTCCTCCTGAGAGTCAGCCCCAAGCACTGCATGATCCGTCTGGCAAGAAAAACACAAAACAGCTGCCAGCAACAGTATGACTTTTCTAAGCTTGGGTGTGCAGGCTTACTTACACTGTGGAATTATGTAGATTTCCTTCCCTCTGGTTTGGAAAGCCTGGCTGTAATCTGTAACTCATCTTGGTTTACTCCAGAGCATAAGGAACTATGGACTTGGAGCTAAACCACAAACAGCTGCTGGATCCAGCTGCAAGGACCCATTTCTGGCAGTATTTGAAAAGATGCATGGAGCGTATGTGAATCAACTTCTGTTGACTGCTGCTGCTGAACAGAAGTGTAACGTTGCATTTGAAACGGATTTCTGATGAGTGTGCTGGGATTTGGTTGCCTTGCTCGTCATAACTCCAGCAGCTTTTCAGCAGGTATGCAGTATGTGCCATGCTTGCTGCTAGAATTGCCTACGGTACCCCGGACTGTTACAGTCCAGTAAGACAAGTAATGAGGCCATGCACAGACACTATCAAACATTCATGAAACACTGAATGAATAAAGGAACTAATCTAATATTTAAATGCAACCTGCACTGAATTACTCAGAAGTGCTTCCAACCAAGATCTCGTTCAAACAATGGGATCATTCTGGCACTAAAAACAATGCTGGAGCAATGTGCTAGCACTTCCGTCCAAACCCCATATGAAACAGCTGGCAAAGCATTTGGAAAGTGCTCCAAGCTGAAGCACAGTGAAAGTGTTCCAGCTTTTCTAGAAAAAGTATGTCTATGCATTTATATGCGTGTGCACGCATGCACGCACACATACACTCACAAATATGAGTACATGTGTATAACCTTGCTCTTTTACTAGCAGACACAATTCTCACTTCAATAAATTATGCCAGTGATAAAATCAGGCAAAGAGGGCTGATTAGAACTGTGTGATATTTAAATTCACAAGGACTATGTGAACTTCTCTCCCCGCATATCCTGGTTCAAGAAAGTTCCCATTTCTCAAAGTCTGGTTACCAAATACCTTCAACAAATACACAGAAATCCCACGTATTTTGCCTAGTTTCCACCACCAGAATTACCCAGGCTGTCACTGAGCGTCCACTGAACGTCTGGAGCAACGAAACAGCCAAAGGTATAACGCTTCATTTTTATACACTGTTTAATATATTGTTTAATTTACACTAATATGTTTATTTTTAACATAACTAATACGTTAAACTAATTGTTTATTTTACACTTATATGTTAGTTACTCACAGAAGATGTTTCCGCACGCTCCGTCCTCACGGCAGGCATTTAAAGAACTGCCCTGTCTGGGAGGCAGTTGACAAATTACCTTATAGGAATCAGTTCAGCTTGACAGGAAGAGTTCAGAGTCAAAACGTCGTACCTGTGACAATGCCCTCGCGAGCATTTTTCACTCATAGTGAGAGGAAGAATATAGCTGCTACCATCCTGTTGCAGACAGACCCAGCAGACAGATGCAGCTTGAGTGGCTTCAACACAAAAGCACTGAAGTACACCGCCTGTGAAATTAAGGTGGTGTTCGGAGGTGTATGCTAACTTGGTTGAATCAGATTAATTAGCAAGGACCAGAGTCAAGGCTGTATTTTATGCTGATTATTTCATTATGGAGCCTTGAACTGCTTTGTTTTGTTTTTTTTAAACTATGCAGCTATTTAGCCAAAATTGGCCAACTTGGTTTTAAGAGCATGCAACGTGCTTGAGAAAAAAAACATGTTGCATTTGAAGACAGCTTGAGCGTTTGTCCTTAGATCTCTCAGTCTTATAAATGATACTCTCTTGGCTACAAAAATCCCCATATTTCCGTACTGCAGCCAATAGCAGCCACGCTCTGGCATGAAACGGTCCTTTATTCATGCGACAGAGACATCTAGAAATATATAACTCCATTGTTTTCCACTGGTCCAGCCACATCACAGAAAATTTCAGTGCAGCTGTGAGAATGTGGGTCATTAATTAAGAGACAATACAGAGCCAACAGGCCCTGCAGGGCTCTGAACACTGCTTGTGCTAAGCTTTTCCACAAACAACCTCTTCCATATAACTGCAAGTGTAGAGACAACACCCTGCAAAGCAGAAAATTTTATCCTCCTACACTTTTAATTCCCCAAATTACTATAACTTTTTTTCTTAAGGAGGCCAAGCTATTCTCATTACTCCAAGGAAAACTTCTCTGCTGCAGGGAACATTGCTTTCTCTGACCAAAAGGTGCTTGTATCTAACCCAAACAACAACTCACTATGAAAGCCAACATCTGGTATGATTAAAGTTAAATCACTCAAGTTCACAAGCCCTTTTAGAGTTGCTTTTAAAAAAGCATGTTAATGAAACAATACATATGTTCTCAAGCTGATAGAAGAACTGCTTTAGGTCTTCTGGTAATTTTTCTTCAAGAAGCAGATTAGATTATGGCTAAACAAAACACTACTTCTCCTAAAGGCCATGTTCACACTGTTATAAGAACATGTTTACAGATAGCAATCACTTGTGCATACTCTGCTCCTCATCTGTCATCCCACTGTACAGATTAAAAATGGAGTCCATGCCCTGTGTACATGCTGGCATGGATTGTTAAGAGGAAGGTTAGGTGGGAATTACAAAAAATGTATATATATAAAAATTGTATATAATTTATATATAACAAATTATATATACATACACACACACACACTGTGTACATAAAAATACTATGGAATGTCTCAAAGCAAGTTTTTGACTTTGCACATATGAAATAACTTTGAACATAAGCTGAAAAGCTCTGAAAGACATTGCTGGGATATGTGACGCTTCCAATGGCCGCAGCAGTAGGTGCAGTGGTGTACTCTGGACATAGGTACTCAATTCTTTCTTTAAAATGCGGT